AAAAAAAAAAAAAAAACAGAAGCCAAAGGGCAAATCAGAAAAGAAAATCTAAGGATAGGACATGCCAAAAAAGAGCATTGCATTTGTCCAGATTTCCTAAATGATTTAGAAGGAGTTTATGCATGCATACATAACATCATACATGCTTGATAGAGGGATAGCTTAGATCTAGTGTAGACTCATGCATGATTGCTGGAACAATGACACAGTCACACTGTAACACACAATGCTTTTCCAGATGGTGACACAGATCTAGAGGGAAAGGAGTCACTGCAGAGAGTTTGCAGACATCGGGTAGTACCATGCATGATCATGTGGAAGAGAACAGAGATAGCTTGGTGTCTTGTGTGGTCATGAGGGATACAAAATAAAGATAGATTATAGTCAAATGTCCTTATCAGAGAGATGGTATAAATAGTGTTATGTCATCTGTGAATATCAGAGATGGCCCAGGTATAATGCACACTGCTCTGACAAGATGACATAAACACAGTTTAGAATCAGGATGAGACAAAAGTAGTAGAGCATCATGCATGATCAATAAGATGATTCTGATGTAGTGTAGGATCATACACAGTAGCTACAAGTTGCAACAGACATGCTGTGCATTGTATGAGGTATACATGGTATACAGACACAGTATACCATACTGTGTGGTTGTCAGAGACATGAAAAAGACACAGGGTGGTGTCATACATGGCCATTAGGCAGATAAAAAAAATTGCTGTAGCGCTGTATGCATACTACAGAGAAATGATGCACAGTGTAGGAACATACGTTGTCATCCAGAGATGACACAGATATAGCACAGCATCACACACATTCATCATAGATACAGCACATAATACACGTGGTTAACTAGGAGGTGATACAAGATGTGTAACACTCCATGAGGTCATCTTGATAGTATGTGTTTTTATTAAAGAGAAGAACCTTATTTTAAATACCATATATGGCTACCAAAGAAATAGTAGCATCATATGTGTTTGTCAAGTAGGTTTTGCAGATACAGTGCAAGTTCAGGAATGGCTATCAAATTAATGTCATAGACACCTCAACATAATATATTTGTCACCAGTAATATCACTCATGGTATAACATCATGTGTAAGTACTTAAAAATTTATAGAATCACATTAAAATTGACTGCTCTTAAGAAAATGTAGATACAGTGTACAATCATATATGGTTTCCAAAGAAATTATTAGGCTTAGAGTAGCATCCTGTTTTTAGGGTGGTGGCACAGATATAACATCCTACATGAGCTCAGTGACATAAAACAAAGATAATGTTGCACCTTCCATGGTTGTCAGGAGCTAGCAAAGATACTCAAAAAATACACAAACTCCTTAACAATATCTGACTGACATTGTGGAACATGACAAACAGTTTTTGACAAAATAATGCAGAAATAAATAATATATCATCATATGTAGCTTTCAAGGTGACAACACAGACAGTGTGACATACTGAATTGTCCACCTGAGATGAACTATGTAGCACATGATGCAGATATTAGTACACAGTATTATGTGTGGTTATCAGGAAGAGGAAATAGACATTGTGTAGCATTTTACATAGTTATCAAGGACATGACACAGAATACAGCAACACATGTGGTCAGGAGAGACATTATATTGTATTGTGACATATGAGAGTAATAAGATGAAACATTATATAGCCTCATGTAATGCTAGCAAGGTCTTCAGCCAAACAGTAGAACCTATAGGTGTTTACTATGGAGATAAGACATATTATTGGACCATGTATCATTCTCAAGAACTTGATGTACATGCAGTATAAAATCTTGTGCAAATTTTAAGAGATAAAAGAGACACAATATAAATGCATACATGGAATCATTAAATAATAGGAATATAGTACAGCAGTGTGTAAGGTGTCAGAAGGTAACACAAAGTGTAGTATTTTGTAAGGTCTTCAAGGATATGACACAGACATAGAGAAGTATAATACACAATTCTCAGGAAGAAAACATAGCCCTTGTGTCACACGGTAACAATGACAAGAGGATGACACAGAGTTAGCAAATCCACAGCAGAGTCCATCATGACGAGCTAGAGCCAGCAGGATCCACAGGACATATGAGACTCTTACCAAAGTTGCAGATACACAGCTACAGAAGGGAGAGAGAAACCCATCCAGGGGAAGGTAACTTGAAGGAGAAGGCCAAGAGATGGAATCCAGTAACAGAGGTGTTCCGAACAAGAAGCAAGGCTGCTTCTGGACCCCAGCATGGTTTACAGCCCAGGTCTGGTGACCATCATTGCGCCATCATGGGAAACATTCAGTCCCTCTGAGGGAAGAAGCCCAGGGTAGCAGCTGCCTGTTGGCACTCTGCCTCATCATCATGGCCCAGTGCCCACCAGGGCCAGCTCTTCTCCTCCTGGTGACAGGCCCAGTGAGGGATATGTTTGCCTACACAGAACAGGGCACCATGGAAGCGCAAGCTGGAGAATCACTCAGAAGGCAGTGGCTGGGCTAGAACTGGCAAGCCCAGGGGCAGAAGGGGCAAAGGGCATGGTCCTGGCTAGGGATCCAGACAATGAGAAACACAGGGGCTTGCAGAAATGGTGATCTGTGAGATTCGGGGATGGAGAAACAGCGCAGAGCCCTGCCGGTGAAGATTCTCTCCTAGCAACTGAATTCAGCACCAGCAAGGACACTCTCCAGGGCTGGAAAGAGATCCCAAGGAAAGGTGAAGAACAGGGACACATGATCACTATAGGCAGAATAAGCACTTCGGATCTGCACCTGAGGAGGTTCGACACCAGTGGCTTCATGGGTCAGATAGAAATTCAGCAAGCAGAAATACAGCCGTGAGTTGGGAGAAAAACCACCAAATGGTACATAGGGGATGTTCTTCTGTCTCCTGCCTAAGGCCATAAATTTAGGGGAAAAAAGACACAGAAAATTAAATATTGCATCATTTCACTTATAGAAGAAACATAAAAAGAAAGAAAGAAAGAAAGAAAGAAAGAAAGAAAGAAAGAAAGAAAGAAAGAAAGAAAGAAAGAGAAAGAAAGAAAGAAAGGAAGAATTAAAATAAAGGAGAGATGGTAGGAAACAAAAAGGCAGATTTAGAGACATGGAAGGAGATGAGAGGAGCCTCAGGAGGGCATGGTAAAGGGATTGAAAATGATTGAGTTATCTATATATGTGTCAATCTCCCAAAGCAGCATACACTAATAAAAAGACATGATTATGCAGAGTGTACCAGTATAGGTGTTTGTCAACAAACTGCATGATACTGCATGTGTGGCTTTCAGTGCAGTGAGGCAGACACAGTAAAACATCACACATGGTTTTTAAGAGTACAATGCAAGTGAAATGTGTTACCACACATGGTAATCAGCAAGATGATGCACAGTGTTGTGTCTACCTGGCCATCAGGGGAATGATGCGTGTATAATGTAGTACCTTACTGGGCCATCAGGATATGACAGACATGTATAGTATAGTACAATATAGTATGATGCATTGTAATTAAAGAAATAACACTGACACTGTAGTCATAAGTAGTTAGCAGGGATATGAAGCAGATATGCCCTAGCAACAAGCATGGCTTCAAAAGAGATAAAAATACAGCACAGTATAATAGCATCATCTGCAAAGAGATGATGCAGATGCTATGTACAATAATACATGGTCACTGGCTAATGATAAAGAATATAATGTCAAATACGGTCAACAGCAAAATAAAGAGATATAGAGTTAGTATCATATGTACCCTTCGAGGAATTGAGGCATACTTAATACAGCACTATATCCACGGTTATCAATAAGATGATCAAACATAGCATAGAATTATGGATGGTAGCCTAAAAGAAAATTCATAGCATATCATCATATGTTTATCACAAAGATGTGGCAGACATAATGTGGCACCGAATACAGTTACAGCACAATGGTGCAGACATCACTGGTGGTCAAGCTGATGATGTCAACACATTGCAGTATCATATATTACCATCCAGGAGATGGCGCAGGTTACAGAATTATATGTAGTTGTTATCGGAGAAACAAAGACCTGTATATGTATACGTGTGGTTATAAGGACATGACACAATGTATAACATATGTTGTTATCAAAAGTATAATATAGACACACTGTAATGACATGCATGGTCATCGTAGAGAAAAAGTACATCTAATTCGCACCATATCTTGTACTCAAGGAGATGGCCTATAGTACACACACAGGTTTATCAAGCAGAGCATAGTTCCTCCATGAATTACACATATAAGTAGATTGCTTACCATCAGCTGAAGCAGTTGCAAAAAGATTTCCAGCATAATCAAAGCAGCTGTCGAGTATTTCATCATCATGGCCTGTTAAGGTTGCCACACATTTTCCATTTGCAGCATCCCACAACTGCAATTAAAGAAAGAAACTGATTTTCTGCTTAAAGTGTGAAGATGGCCCATGGTCTTTTCACACGCCAATGGATGGTTAAATAACTGTGCCAGAACTGTATGTAAAATTTTCACCTGTTCAATTAATTTTATTTTGATTAATGACCAGAGACCACACACAACTATCTGGCAAAGCACACTTTGGTCACACAGAAGACCAAAGCCAGACATTTGTTTGCTACTTTAGTGGCGTTTGTTTACCACAATGTTTAAAAAAAGGAAAAATATCTCAAAGTACATGCTTTAGTGATTTAAGAAGGTTCCTTTATTATAGCAAGGGCATTAGCTCATAAGGGGCTTGATCCCAAACTAGAATGCCAGAAAATGAAAACCATAATATAATATTATCATACATTTCATATATAATCAAATGATAATTAGCAAGTACATGTTCTTAGTAACCATTTTGCAACACACAGAAACTTAGAGGCAGGGAGAAATTTAACTGAGGCCCCTTGAGCTCTATTTAATCAAAGTTTAATAAATGAATAGCTGGACCTTAAACAAACATAATGTGCCTTTTAGAATAAGATATTAATACTTTTAAAGAAATCAGAATTGTTTTATGACTTCATAATTCCCTCAAGCTTGGAAAATTTGAAATAATTATTATGTATAAATTAATATCTTAGTTTCATATCACCTATAAAATTTGCAAGCTTGAGATAACATAAATAATACAGACCGTATATAAAGCACATATACGTCCTGAGCTCACCATGCAGGTCTTATCCATGGAGCCCGTGAGTACTAGAGAGCAATCCCAGTTGAATACAGCACTGCTTATCTCAGCACAGTGGCCAATCAAGGTATGCACCTTCCTGCAAAAGGGAAGTGCACAGGACTGTCCAAAGAGCGCTCTCTCTCCAGCGCATGCACAAAAATAATGAGATCAAGCCCATCTCTGTGAAGTAAACTAAATTTCGGTTTGTACAAAATATCCTTAACAATGAAACAAAAATTATTCTGCTAGAGGTCTAGAGGACACTACTAACTTTAACAAAAATGCACCTAACATTTGAACAAAGATAACATTTACCATGTTTAACTTATTTCATTCAACATAAAGTCCTCCAGTTCCACTATTTTTTTTGTTTTGATAGGATACCGTTCAGAGTTGCATTGAAATCTTACCCTATACTCCAGGATATGGACAGTTATTACATGCTAATCAGAAATTTTGAAACAAAATGTGTAAGAAGATGGAAATGCTAACTACCTGATTTTGATCATTATACATTGTAATTATGTATTAAATTTTCACATTGTATTCCATAAATATGTATAATTAAAATAATTTCATAAAAAAATTTAATAAAATAATTTTTAAAAACTACATTACTTAAGAAAACATTCCAGTGAGGAAAGGGTAACAAATTCCAGAAGAACTCTTAGACCAGCTGAGCAGACCCTGGTTGTTCAGAAACAACACATCAAAAGATTGGAAGGATTTTTGTCTCAGTTCTGTCATTGCTGAGGCAAAATACCCAATGCCGAAAGTTAAAGGGAGAAAGGTTTATTTAGCTCACAGTATGTGGAGGTTTCAGCTCACAACTGGCTGGCTTCATGGCAGGGTGGCAGAGGGCAGTGGGGCAAGAGTGAGGCAAGCCTCTTTGTGTCCTTATATTGTACTCAGGCTACCCACCCTAGGGCAGGTGTAGCATTTGCACCCTTAATCCCAGCCTTGGACCATGTCTCAGTCACAAACTCTGGATTCAACCTCCTCTAAATAGCCTGCCCCCATGGCTGCATGAGGTTTAGGGGGACATCTACACACAAACATGACACTTTCCCTTTTCATTTCTTGTTGAGCCCATCTCAGTTGGTATTTCTCATGATGAACCCCTCTATCAAAATGTAGGCAAGAGGGGAGTTTTCCAACAACTTCTTAGCAACTAGGGCCACAAGCATTAGGAAGTAAATTGCAGTTCTTGGACTAAATTAAATTTGGGAAATTAACTATTAATTTTATATATTCATATTATATATTATATATACATATATATTCATATCTACCATTATAACAAGTCATTGAAATTTGATTATAGAGTGCACTGTATAAATCATAGCTATATAATCAGGCTATTGCTAATATTCTTCTCTTATATTAGTTTATTGTTTGCCAAGAATTCTGGGAACACATTTTATAGATCAAATATATGAAAAATGTTAGTTTATGTTATCAGTGTATTCTTTTCTTATGAAATCCAAAGCATAGTTAGTACTGTCAAGGTTAAAGTAACAAATAACATAGCATCTTCTTCACCCCTGGCTGTTAATTTTAAATTTCCTGAGAAATAAGAATTACCTTGCAGTGGAAGTGTCCCACACTATGACTGTGTGATCAAAAGACCCTGTAATGATTCTGTTTCCTGAGGTGTCAAATGACAAGGAAATGATTTCTGCCAAATGTCCCTAAAAAAGGAGGAGATGTTGTCACATATGCCTACAGACAAGTCAATTACTACATGTACACAATATCTTAGGCTAAAACTAGATTGTAGGGATAGTTTCACAATTCTGTAAGATGACTATAAGTCATTGCCTTACACATGTAAAACAAATTCATTTTAACTCAGTAAAACTTCTTTTTAAAGAAAGAGGACATATTTTGGGAAAGAGAGCTTCTTTCACATTTTCCTGGAAATATTAGGATGTATCTGTTACCACTACATGTCTAGCAACTTCCTGGGACCTGCCACCCTCCATTTCATCCCACCCCAGCCTGAGTGATCACAACCAAATGGGTTGACTCTGTTGTAGAATCAGAGGGAAGGTCTGTATGCAAAATCCCAATTTTCTCAACCTTTCAAAATTTTATGTAATTTTTTAAAAAGAATACGTCTTTATGGGCTAAAAATAGATGATAAGCAAAGGAAAATTGTGTAAAATAAATTTAATAACTTTGAAAGAGGAAGTCTTTAAGGTGGTTTGACGTAAAGGAGGAAACAGACAGTGATCCTTAGCCTGTCTGTCCCTACTACAGTCCAGCGCTCCTGAGAAGCCCACTGAGGAGGCCCTGTGCTGAACACACTCTATGACTCTGATCAGGGCACACCTCTTGCAGGTACTGCTCCTTTTCCTAATTATTTTAGTAAATTAACACACTTATATTTTCAAATAGTACAAAGAATTAGAACTGTTCATTTGCAAATTGATTTTCAGGTTGATTCCAAAAGTGAAATGGAGCTGAATGTTAGAATTCCATTCGCACGGAATGAGCATGCCCTCCTCTCCAGAAGCACACAGATGTGAGGAGCAGGACTTGGTTGGCATAGCACCCTTAGCACACTCAAAAAAAGGAATAACTGTAGTGGAAATGCATCCCCAGGGGTCCTTCCCTTCCACAGTTTCCAGGAAGAAGCTAAGGAAACAGAATCCCATGAAACCATGACAACTGTAGGCAATCAGAGTTAAGAAAGAAGACCCCTTAGTATTATTTTTAAATTACGGAGGTTTTCTCTTGCTTTTCCCATTTATTTTTAACTTTCTTGGGGAAAAAATACCATTTTTTAAAATTCACTTGAATTTTCAAAGAAGAGAGAAGACTGACTTTTCTCATCCAGCTATTCCCAGTGATCACAGCACGCCCTCAGCCTATTTTGTTCTGGCTGTTGTGCTGGAGTGGCATGAAGTGAAAGTGCCAGGTGACTGGAAGGTGCCAGACATGCAGTGGTGACAGACAGTAGCAAATGCTGCAGCAGTCATTGTCTGGGTCATGACCTTTGGCCTTTGGCCTCTGGTCCTTCCCTTCCCCCCCACCCCCGCTTGTCATCCTGACACCATTTTTTTTTAATCTTTTTTTTTTTTTTTTTTTTTTTAAGGATAAAAGGAGGGAAACATTAACAGACATACAACATTTTACAACATATCACAAGCACAATACAGACAATACAGAGTTACAAACAAAGTGGTAGGGAATTAACAATGGCACAGGAGGGTTTTAAGGCTGTCAGAGGAGAGGGAGTGGAAGCCAGTCATCCCTGTGAGGAATCTTCTTCGTGGCTCTCACACTTGGCCTTCTCCCAGTGCTGCCAGTCCCCACCTGCTTTTCTTTTAACCAAATGGATGATGACGGGGTCTGAGCTATAGCTGACTTGCTTCCCAACATAAAGTTCAGCAAAATCAAAGTTCCTCTGGCTCCCCCAGCACCTCCACCCCACTCTTTGGGAACAGTCAGCAAACTATTCATGACGTTCTTCTATTGCACTTTGAAAACCAGTAGTTAAAAGGCATCTTCTGACTTAGAATTCATTGTGTAACAGAGATACAAATGAAAATGAACACAGACTATAGGCTCACTGACACTGTGGACGTACCATTAGAGTGAACACTTCCTCTCCACTCTGAATGTCCCACAGCTTGGCCGTGGTGTCCATACTTCCAGTAGCAACCAGTGTGCTTTGAGGGTTAAACGACAAACACACCTAAATCACATAAAATGAAAGAGAATTTCAAACTCTGCATTTTATACGGAAATTTTTCAAAGCTCTTACCAAATTTGATTTAATTCTTTGTACCAGCTCATGATGAAACATTAAATACGAGAAACCTCATATCCGCAGGTGGAATCCTGAGAGAGTCTCCTGCCAAAGAGAGACCTCGCACTCCCACACGACTTGCTCGGCTGGGAGGAGCACAGGCTCCTCTTGCTATTTGCAGACCACAGAAGAAGAACAAAGCAAAATCCGCCTCCCTTGAGTTTCCTACAGTCCTTGCTGCTTTCACGGTCTTCTGGTTACATGGCTGTGACTACTGGCTCACAACATCAGTTCTGTACCCTAGGTGCGCTGCATTTTGATAATCCATTCATTTCCCCAGACCCATGTCCTGGACTTCTCTTCTGTAACTGCTTCTCTGGCTGCACCTTGGATTTCAGCAGCACCTTCTCTAGAACATTCATCTTCTACTCACCTACCTCTGGTTACTTTTTATGATACTCTGAGCTTTCTGTTGCAAGCTACCCTCCTCCCGAACTTCTGGATATCTTCCATTTCGCTGAGATCCCTACCATTCCCCTGGCCTGCCATCCCCATTCAGCTGGCACCTTCAAAGTACCATTCCTGCCAGCACCTTCAGTGCCTGTCTGTCAAGTGCACTTTTAATACAGCCAGAACTTTATTTAATCATCTACCCTCCCTGCTTCATCAGCCAATGGAGTTTAAGAAAGCTGCGTAGGTCACTGGTGTTGCTCACGCCCACTTTGTGTCTGCTAATGAATCTTCAGTGCCATTCCATACTTATTTTAACTGAACCTGGCTTAATACACTCCCTATTCCCCACTCTTGCCTTCAGCTTTCATCCTCAGCACGTAACTGGTGCTCCTCCTACTGCCCTGGGAAAGCTTACCTAGCAGACAGGAACTTCCTCACCTCACCCACACGCTCCGCCCCTTCAATCTCAGGTGCAGAGGGCTCCCTTTGCCCATTCTAAATCCTTTACCCTGCACTCCTAGAAGAGCTCTAGTACACATTCACTTTTCTGCCCTCCAGACTAGATCCTTCCTAGTACCCAGTAAATGTGCTTGAGCTTTCCCCACGTACCACAAAAACAAATCCTTCCTTGAATGTATGCACCACTTTTAATTACCTTTTCCCCCTTTACAACCAAACTCTTTGGAAAAATAATTTACCCTCCCTTTCCGCTCATCCTCTGCTCACTCTTCAACTCTACTGAACCCACTCTTAAGTCTAAGACGTGTGGTCAACCATCCACTAAACCTCCCTAATGTCTGCAGTGTTGGCTTCTTTGGTCTCCATAATTTTTACAGCTTTGACAGCTCTGTCTCCTCACTGTCGTTACTGTTGTTGTTGTTGTGGTGGTGGTGGTGGCTGTTACTGTTGCTGCTGTTAAGGATGGGTTGTATCAACTGAAGATTTCTCTTCTCTTCCAGAATCTTCCAGTGCTCTCTCCATGTGCTGCCTTTCTCTTGGACAACTGCCATTGCTCACTGGTCTCTTCTGCTACCCAGACCCCAATGACTCACACCCATGTCTCCTCCCCAGACCTGATGTTCAGTTCCAGCCTCAAAGAGCCAACTTTCCAACGAATGACTTTTGGATATCACACAGGCAGCTCTTTTCAATGTAAGACTGAAGAGTCACATGAACACAAACCTGTTTCACTGGTGAGTGGCACTGCCAGCCACCCAACCCCACCATCAGGGAAGCATTTTAGATTCCCCTTTTCCCTCATGCCTCACATCTACTTGGTAACCAGGTTCTCCTCCCTCCACTCCCTTAACACCTCATACGTTCTCCTCATCTGCCTTATGATAATGTGTCATCATTTATTATTTAGACAACAAATTCCCAACTGGCCAGTATCCCTGATCGCACCTACTGCCCATTTCAAAACTAATCTTCTGAAGGAGCCAATTTAAACATACTTAAGCGTACAAGTTTCTTAGCATTCCATGGGGTCCTCTGTAAGTCTACAATATGGTCTGTGCCTGCCTTTCCTACTTGGAGTAATCCCACCTGGTGGTCCTGCTTTTATTATGTTATGAGTCTACCGAGGACTGACATCCTTAACACAGGAGGCAGCGCTGGGGATTGCTGTCCACTGCCTCAGACCACACGGAGCAGGCAGCTCCCCAAGAGTGTGCACATGCATACTAGCATACGCAGTGCACCCACCACAGGGGAAGTCAGGATGCTCTTCTCTGATCCTACAGCACTTCCTGAGCTCTCAAGTATGCACCACAGCTGTGCACCTCCTATGGCACTGGCCGGTGCTGCTCGCTCTGCCTGCAATGCCCATCCAACCCACCTCTCTGTAAGTCTGCTCCTGCCAGGGGAACTTGATAGCTCCCTCATTTAATGCCCATTTCTAGCACATCTACAACTCTTAAGAACCAATTCACTGATGCCTCTACTATGACACACAAGAATCTTTGGGGGATAAGCAGTGTCTAATTTTATAGGTACCTTGAGCTTTTTAGCCAGCACTTCACACATAATTAGTATTTAGTAAATATTTATAGGATAGAAATCCCAAAGGAATGTGGAGACGTGGCCATTTGCTAAACACGGGGATTATATCTTCCTTGACCTTGAACAAGTTACCCTCTATGCCCCAGCATCCACAACTGTGCCTCAGTGGAGGAAATGCCCACCTTTTAGGTTATAAGGCACAACTGTGCTAATACATGCCAAAGTCTCAGGACGGTGCCTCCAACAGCAAGTGCCACTGAAGGGTCAGTTGCAGTTTTTCCCCATCGTGTCCTACTTCTACAAAATACCTCAAATGTAGCATATGTTCTTCTCAGATGAAGAAATACCATGAACTCTAAGGATGAACAGAAACAAGGTTTTCTCCTAAAATTAGAAGCTTGTTTAATAGTCATCACTTGTTCCATAGGGTGCCAATTAGCTCACTAATGAGTAGGAGACATAACACAGAACTGGCCAAGGGCAAGGGCTTCCCAACAGGGAAAGTTATTCAGAGTATCAGACTGTTTACACAAATTGGAGTTCTAATGATGTGCTGAAAATAATCAGCCTAAGAAATTCCACACAATATAATAAAGTTATTTTAAAAGCTATTTATAACTTCATCAATCCTCACTGAATCAGCTCTTTAAACGCAAGTGAATGAAAAAGAAAAAGGTTGGATATTATACGCATATTTATTACATCACATGTCTACTTAGTCAATATATGATACTGTTTGCTCTCATTAACTGTAAATTATTAAAATGTAAGTTATTTTTAAATTATATGAGCACTGCCATGTAAAACTCATGCAGACTAACACTAACATGGTAGGTTAGAATCTGAAAATTATAAAAGTACAACTTCTGCATTCATAATGAGAACCTTAAAAAGTAGCAGTGTAAAATAAATGATAAAAATGTGAAATATACTCACTATTTCTGCTGTATGTCCCCTAAAGGTGTGGTAACATTTTCCTGTTTCTGCACTCCACAGTTTACATGTCTTATCAAAGGACCCAGTGGCAATTTTGTCGCTGCAATTTCAAAATGTACGGATTTTTAAATAAAAGTTATATGTTACACTAAATTAAGACAAGAGCTGTTAATGTGTGTATACCCATCTACTGAGGAATTTATTCCTGTTTTTAAATTATAAGCAATCCTATATTTCTTTCAGTGGGTAACAAAAAAGAGCTAATTTTTGAATGACATCAATTTATGTTTAATATTATAGATCTTGCATTAAATGTATAAACATATTTTTAATTAACAATGAATGTTCATAAAAGATTTAGTTTGGAAAATCAGTAACATCAATGTGAATAATATGTAGTTTTAGTTGTATAAACATAGAAAATCTGGGGGCTGGGGATTTAGCTCAGCAGCAAAAGCGCCTGCCTGGCAAGCGCAAGGTCGTGAGTTCAGTTCCCGGTACCAGAGAAAAACCAAAAAAAAAAAACATAGAAAATCTGTTAACAGTTATATAGAAAATGTAACATTGATTTTAAAAGAAGAAAATTGAAAAGATACAAATTCAAGTAACCATATGGATAATAAGGTTGTGAGAAATTAGATAATGCATAACTCTTTGTGAAAATAATAGCAATATTCCAGTTATAAGAGGATATGGAAGCTGGGTGTGGTGTCACACGCCTGTAATCCTGTCATTTGGGAGGCTGAGGCAGGAGGATCACTGTGAGTTTGAGGTCAACCTTAACCATATACTGAGATCCTATATCAAAACATTCTATAAAAAGGATACAGAAAGGAGATTGGTAAAGACTTTCTAACAGAAAGCTTCCCTGGTTGATTCAAGCAGGGCTGCTGCAGCCACTGAAATGTAGAAATAGATTAGCCTGGTTAATCTTTATGTTGGCCCTGAAACTTTTAACCTTAGGCCATATTTATCCTTTATACCAAGGTCATCAAAAGTCCATCAGCTGGTTTACAATTTCTGGTGTAATTTCACTGTTGAAAAATGTAAGGGATCGGGGCTGGGGATTTAACTCAGTGACAAAGTGCCTGCCTGGAAAGCGCAAGGTCGTGAGTTCGGTTCCTGGTACCGGAGAAAAACCAAAAAAAAAAAAAAAATGTAAGGGATCTTAAGATCCAAAAATACACATCCCAAGGCAAATTGTACACACCCACCACAGGTGCACCAACACTGAGCTCTTCCTTTTATCTCTTGGTTCCCAAGCTCCCATGCAGTACTTCTGTGGTCTCCCAGTCTAGGGGAAAACAAGGTCCTTCTGTCGACACTTCAGGGCAGCTCTCCCTGTTGAACCCTCACAAACCACCGAAGCTTCCAGACCTCAAGGATAGTTGGCTACCCAGAGTCTCTCAACTGCCCTACTCCTCTGGGATCCAGTCCAGGGCATCGGAGAGTATTTTCCCTCTGCTGCAGCCACCTTGCAACTTCTGCTCAAGACATGCTCAAGCCCTGTAAGTCACCTCAGTCCAATGTTCCATCAGTCCTGCCCCTCAGATATAAGTTGCTGTTGTTTCCTCACCAATTTTGGTTCTATCACAAACTCTTTTTGAACTCCAGATGACACCACACCATAAAAGATATCATTAATGTCCGTGTCTTTTAGAATTACTTTATTGAATCAAAACTTATTCCTGACCTAATGTATGAAGTCGATAAACACTAAAATATTTCACACACACACCCTTTTATGGTGGATATCTTAAACTCACTGAGCTGAAAGCAAAATGCTAAGAGCAATGAAAACTACTGCTTTATCACTTTTGAGGTATGATTAAAAATATACATTGAGGGGCTGGGGATTTAGCTCAGCGGCAAAAGC